TCACTTTGCTCCCCTAATCAAGCAGATTAAATAACCACGTTGGCACGCATTCCGCAATCCCATTTGCCTCTAAATTGCTGAATACTGTGGAATGTAGATGTCGTGGTTATTTTGTGTACCTATCAAATTTTAATTTAGCTCCGGGTCAATGCCTTGACGAAATAACTCCGTGCCTCAGCTACAGTGCATATTAATAACTACTACAAATCATCTGGGATGCTGGTATGTTTTGACAAGGGAAGCAGATAGTGTGAACACCAAGGCAAAGGTTTGAAATTATTCATACCGCTTCAGGGAAAGAGGCGCAGTTAATTCTGTATAGACCTCAGCCCCAGTCATCCCGGCATATAATAACGCCCTTGTTTACATCGTTCTAAACGAGTGCCTTAACTAAGACACGGCACGCTACCAACTACTGAGGCGGCATTGACGCGCCTCTAATGAGAGTCGGCACAGCATAACACTTTAATCCGCTCTATATGGCACTGTTTTCCAGATTGGCTGTGGTGTCCTATTTACAGCGGCTGGGCTGCGTGTCAGGGACCCACGGGAGAGCGGCCTGGAGAAGGGTCCCGCTTCTGCCGGTGTGCGGAAGCGGGACCCGCTGTGGAGGGGTACTCCACTCAGTCCAAAGGATCGGGTCACCGTCGGGAGGGACCGGGCGCTGGGCGCGCAGTGTCGCGCGGTGGCAGCGGTGCCGGGCTCAGTTCGGACACCGGGGCATCCCTGCCACAGTGCGACGACGCCATCCAATCAATGCGATGAGCCGGCTCGATTGCAGACAATCATGGCGCGACTGCGCCGACCCCGCCGCGCCCCGAAACCAACACCGTGAGAGCCTCTGAAGGATCAGTGCAACTGCAGTACCACCGAGGTGGGTCCAAATTAAAGACACTATACCTTCATTGCGAAAGCTAACACCTGCATCTGTGTGTTCCTTTGTTATTGTTTTTTTTTCAGTGCCGAATGGCATGTGCTTCCGATTTGTGCATTCATCCTATGAGCTTGGATTTACATAATCTTTGCCAAGTAGATGTTTGCTTGCTCTACTGGATTCCGCGGCGTTTCCTTAGAGAAACATAACGCGACGCATAGAAAAGCAAGGGATTTATATCTGAAATGAGGATATGGCACAAACAAATATTCAGAGAGAAAGCGTGCTGCAAAAGGTATTGCCAAATAATCTGTCCGCATTGATCTTGCGACCTTCTACGCCTCGTGTTACCACTAAATTAAATTCCATCCGGAGTTTTGTTGGATGTAATTCGTGAGATCTTATTATCAGTCCACAGACATTGGTAAAGCTTCATACATGAATTATAAATAAAGTAAGGTAAAAACGCACAATACCATGAAATGTTTTTATCTGACATGAAGTAAATGACATTTTCTTCCTTGCACTTATTTCAGCTACACTTACACGCTTTTGCTCGTTCAACTGTTCTCGACGTACGAAGCTCGGGGTTCATCGTGGTGACGTGTGATGTTAATACCCAGCCTTCTACCTAAACTACTTCCTTACAGTATTTACCCCAACAATTTGAACCATTCCTTTGTACTTAATATTACGTTGGACTTGGAGTGCAAACACATGGTTACGTAACAAGCACTGCAATAATACAACATGTGTGTTTTTTTTAGAAATGCCGTTTTTGTAAGGCAAACAAAGCGAACAATGACAATCAGAAAATCACTTCCTACTCTCAATAACGCACAGCTTCTACACATACGGCAATAAATCGAGAAATCGAAATAAAAACGTAAAGAAATGCTGATTGGTGTCCTGTGGTAAAATCATACGATTCAATGATGGTCGTCTTAGAAAAGGCCTTGGTTCAGACCCAGTGGTAGGCTCTTTTTAACGAGAGCCGTGACCGGTGACATATGTAGGCTAAGGAGTGTCTTCCAACGACGCTGTGGCCTCTTCGGCCATAATATTGCCGGATGGCACCTTGCCGTCCTGTGATCTTGCTGACCTGTGACCGTGCCGACGTGTGCCCTTTCTGACCTGTTTCCTCACCGGCCCTGATGTGTGCGGCCGTGACATCTATTGGGCCAGGACCTTGGCATGGCATTATCCGGCCCACCGCCGTGGGGTGACCCCGTTGAGTGAATAGTGTCTGCAGTTGTTTAGCCCTCGGCTCGATCGGCCGGCCCTACTGTAGAGTGTGATTGATTCTGTTTGACGTGGCCATTCAGTAATCGCGATAGGATTGATAGCCGGTCTCTTTCACTGTCTGGCCCAGACAGAGGTGGGCGGGGAACGGAGAGTGGACGACGACCGTCGACCGGATGCAGGCAGGCGTAGCATTAAAAGGCCCATTTTCTATTACAGCTGGGACTTGGGAGTTTGGGATTTGAGATAATTCAATTGATTCCGTCTTAAATATTTTAATAGGTTTCTGGATAGACAAATGTTCTGATACTCGTCAGAACTCTGCGCTTTATAATACTTAGACCGAAAATGCATTTATTTCTTCTTCTCCTTCTCTTTCCTTCTTCTATCCCATGTTTCGTCTGGTCTCTTTCTTATCTGTCTCGTAATCATAACTTACCTTCTATCCTTCCCTCGCTGACCTTTTCGGGATAATACACAGCTGCTGAGGCCGGCCACAATTATCGAGACAGAAAGAGGAAGGGAGGAGGGAGATTGGGGCGCTCTCGGGAGCCCGTCTTGCGGGCACTAGGCCCAATCTGCTATTTGGTGCAATGTGGCTGACCCGGTGACCCGAGCTCCACTTTCCTCCGTGGTCCAGTCGACGCTGACACATCCAGAGATGCGTCGAGTCTTCAGAGACCTAGACGGAGCCCAGCTTGGGGTGGCAAATTGAACCCGGCCTGGAGAGACTGGACCGTTCCACTCAGCATGGCGCTGACTGCTCTACAGAGCCAGCCCAGCGGCCTGTCGCCACCAAACGGCTCAGCCAAGAGTGCTTTGTTTGTCTCCGAGCTCTAGGCATCGTTCATAAAGCCCATTTGCGGCTTTATCACTTGTGAAATAAACACCAGTGGTGGCCGGGGCCGGGCTCGCGGAATCCCGAACTCATTTGGTTGCATGAGACCGACCGGGCGGCTCTGCCATTTTGACAAGGACTGACCCGACCCGACACGGATCCCATTGACACGTGTTCGACGTGCCGTCGGCTCTGATCTCATCTGGGTGGCGGCGTATTCCGGAGCGGCGGCCGGCCACCACGTTAGGCCGATTGGCAGCGGCCCAGCGGAAGGTCAACAAGCTCCCCGGAGGCACGTAGCCCGGCCCTACACCCCTCTCGGACGCGCCGGGGAGGGTCGCGCTGATTGTGTGGTGTCGCACGACACCAAGAGCGACCTTGAATGTGATTAGACACGTGTGGCTGAATATGACAGCTTCATAACCAATTCCGCTACATTTTCAGTAAACAAAAAATCAGGGGGGGGGGGGGAAACAACTGAAAAGTTCCCGACCATGCGCACTACGTACTAAATTGTATTGATATTGGACACGTTTGCAGTAACAGTTGACGGAATAAGAAATATTATTTTTCAAATATTTATTTTTATTATTTACTATTTTTCAAATACACTTATCAAGCAGCCAAGCGCGTTTTTCATTATTTTCGCTATAGGTATTCGACATCTTGCATTATGCTTTTTATTGCATTCTACTTGTGGTTTGTTCATATCAGCAATTTGGTTAACGTTTTTACGTTTCTTTGCGTTTTTAAGGTCTTGTCACTGTTCTGGAAGACTCTTAAAGGGACCCTCCCACCTTAACATTAGATTTGAGTTGAGATAGCTAAAATGGGGTCCCTGGCTCACAATTACCGGTTTCGGCACTCACAACATCGAGAAATGCCTTAAATCGGAAATATTGAATTTCAAAATTGCAGCATTTTGATTCAGAGGGGCTAATGCATAGGAATACCCCTCTGAATGTGTGAGTTCAGCGCAGATATCTAACGATTTTTAAATGTTTGACTAAAACGTTTTGTAGCACGCGGTGGTATATGCTGCTTTGCGCGCAACAGGTGCCGCACTTTCAGCTGCCAAACTATTGCTTCCAAATAAAGTCGCTAGGAACAGCGGAGATCCCAAAAAGTAAACAAAAGTAAAAGTCTAATATCTTGAAAACCGGTGAATATTTTTCGGTGAAATTTGGTAGATATTCGTTTTCGCTCTTTCTGAACCGAGCAACATCACTTTCATGCCAATTCATAAACTTTTTTGAAGGTGGGAGGGTCCCTTTAACGAAAATGACATCACTCTTCGTAAAGCCAAGCAAATCTGTAGAAGTTGTCTCTTCCAAACAGCTCAATTCGCAGAGCAATGCAAACTGCTCTGTAAGGCAGTCTACTTGGCTCTGTTTTGAAAGCGCTGTTTTGTATTCAGCGGACAAGTACGCTGTGTCTCCAACAGACGCCGGATTACTATTGCTGGGACACTCGCTGCGCTCCGCATACAGAGCTGAATCCGATCCGGTTTCGACAAACAGGCCGGCCATCAGGACAGGATCGGAACCAAAGACTGCACACATTGCTTTCAGAGAGCCGGAGGCGTTTTCTGTCGGTGCTGTTTCGTTCGACATTGATCGAATGGATGGCCGTCTCAGCGACACTGCCGGTTGCAGGAGGAGCCAAGGGGCACGAGGGGAGCTGATGGCTAGCCTTATTGGGGTCTGAGTGACCCCGGGTGTCCGTTTTCATGCCTTTGAGAATGGTTAAAATGTGACAGAGGCTATATGTAGTACACAACAGTCCACAACCTAACCCAATAAAGCTAGCGGGTAGTTGATCAGGATGATCCGCTAGTTTCCACACCAGTTCCTAGATGGCACTAGTGTAGACGCCTGAACTGATACTGTCCCGCAAAGCTTGACGCTATCTCTCCCAACTTATCCAATATCCATCACGCTGTATGCCTAAGCAACAATTTTGCTGGTAATCGGTGGCATTAAAGTACTTGCAGCAGTAGTTTAAATCCATGCAAGGCTTGTTTTCAGAATTATACTTAGCTCTTACCTGAACAGCCGATCATGAGAGTGAAGAACACAACGGGAAACATTATGAGCCCCTCCTCTTCCACCCAGCCGTGTTCTGAAACAAAAGGTGGGCTAATGTCAGCGTCGACCTACATTGGAGCAGCGTTGGTGGTGGTCTCTTTTCTGGGGAGTGACCAGCGGTGGCGGTGATAGTTTCTCCTCTCCCGGCGAATGGCCGGTCCTTCCGGTGTTCAGACGGCCGAGTTCCCTTGATCTCTCTGAGACGGGGAGAGGAGCTATGGACGTCGCCCACTGAGCCGTGGAGCCGCGGACGGGCGGCGACCAGTTGACATTTGGAATTGGGCCACCCCAGTCCAGCTGCGCACGGCCCCTCACCAGAACAACCGGCGTGCCGTCCGAGCCACACATGTGCCGTCTGGACCAAACTTTGAGTCAGTGTGGCCGGATTCGCGCCGCACCGGTTCAAGCGGCGACCTCGGCCACGGACGGAGCGGGGGCGGCTGTCGTCAGCCCCCCGACAGAGCACGGCGAATGACCGCCTGAGGCCCTGTTTCTGACACTGACACTCGGAGGCGGGAAGTTGGGCCGCCACCGCCGTCCTGACGGGCCGCCGGCGCCGTCCTGACGGGCCGCGGAATTGGGCTCTGTAGCTCAGACACTGCGGTCGGGAGACAGGGGAATAAGGTGACAGGCTCTGCCGACCGGTCATCGCCGGGCGGTGCCATGGAGACGAGACGGAGAGACATAGACATGACGATGGAGAATGGAGATGAAGACGGAAGATTGGGATTTGGTATTGGATGGTATTGGGTATGTGGATGAAGACTAGAGGCATTGCAGTCAAAAGATGACAGATCAAGAGACGACAGAGACGAAAAAGAAGACAGACACTGAGACAGAGACAGAGACGAAGAGGACTGCTATGTTCTTGCGATTGTGTGGTTGCATCTATATACTCTGGTTATATATTTCATCATAATTGTGGCGACAGTGTGCAACTAGTGGCAAAGTTATCAGCCGGATGCCAAAGACAGCCGACGTCTACCACTTTATCATGCTGGTAACAGAAGGACTGGGGCCCAAGCCCTCTGTTGCATTGCATTTGACGTTACCAATTGATATAAAATATCAATAGCTCTCTTCCATGATAAAAGCATCCATTGGATTGATTTTCAATTTATGTTGTAGTGCATACAAGCATGTGGATATGCGATGCCTTTTTTATCGTCGTCAAGGCTGAATGGCTCTGAATTGTGAGCCGTCGTGTCACTGATGTATGTTACCTCGCGTAGCTGCTCCAGGACGATAGCTCCTGCAGCGGAGGGAGGGCTGTTGGGAGGGGGGGGGGGCAGAGGAACGAGCCGTCTGATGCGGACGGCAGTTGGCGCGACCATCCGCAGAGGCGATCAGACTCCACCCCGTCCCGGCCGGCCGGCCACCCCGCCCCGGAGCGCAAATGACCCGGAAAGCAGCCGCGCCGATGGAGCCGGCTACCGCCGCCGTCTGATGGAGCTCAGCAGTCAGCACCGGCTGATGGAGCTCAGCAGTCAGCGCCGGCTGATGGAGCTCAGCAGTCGGCACCGGCTGATGGAGCTCAGCAGTCGGCATCGGCTGATGGAGCTCAGCAGTCAGAGGTGGCTGATGGAGCTCAGCAGTCAGCAGTCAGCGCCGGCTGATGGAGCTCAGCAGTCGGCAGTCAGCATCGGCTGATGGAGCTCAGCAGTCAGAGGTGGCTGATAGAGCTCAGCAGTCAGAGGTCAGACAGAGCACAGGACAGGAGCGCAGCAATCAGGCCGGCTGTCTTGAGTCGACACGCAGTTCGCGACAATTTTTTGCAGTGTTCTGACTCATTTTTGGTTTAGACGCTGCTGTTTGTCACAGATGCCAGTCATGTTTCTGTTTATGCTCATTTGTTACTTGTTTAATGCCTGACCTGGTCCTAGCCCAGCTGGACATCCGCTTATCTCGCTGGTTTGATGGCTGGGTGGTTACCCTCTAATCGCAGAAACAGACAATCGTGCCTTATCACGCTGGCGCCACCGGATGCCACATAACGGGGAATGCGGGAGTCATTTCACCAGCTCACATCAAATCAGCATTAAGCCCAGCCGCGGAATCCCCGGATAGTGGCCGGAGTACTGTAATTTCTAATTACTTTGTTTAAATTTGTCACGCCCGAGACGTGGCGTGTAAGTAAATCAGCAATAACAAATACCAGAACAAGCCAAGTTAATGCTTACACCAACAGCTACTTTTGAAGCTTTGTGGAGAGGCGTGCGTGGCAGCTTGGGCTTAAACTCTGCTATTCCCCCCCCCAAAAAAAAACTTCCAACGCATTGTGATAGTGGTAAAAAAGCTGATCTAAACTGTTAGTACATGTTAAACTGTTAATGCCCATCACGAGATCCAGTGATTTCGTTTTCATGGCCATGACCTATAGCGTCAGTCACGGCCAGTGCTGCTCGATGAGTGGTCACGCCACGTGCTGGCCGTGATCAATGCCGTGACCGTGACTCGTTTTTCACTGGCCCGTCACATACCTCCCTGCCTCCCACGATTGGTGGCCCACAAAGAAGAGACCCAGTCGAGGCGGGACTTTTCACACCCGGCTGCGCACATAGTGTGGACTGGGGTCAGAAATTCTATCTAATAGCGTGCTCTCTCATCCTGATCGTAATCTCATCTGCCCATATCCGTTTTCTCAGTTTGGGTGGAGACTTCCACTGGCGTCCAACTGGCGTCTACCTGAGCAGGCGTCCAAGTTGGCGTCTAACTTAGCGTGGACGGAGATTTCCAAGCTACACGCGTCTAAAGTTAGCAGTCGCCAGCTAGACGCAGCCGCCGTCCAGCTAGACGCGTCCAAGACTTAGACGTGTCTAGCTAGACGCGATATGGAAGTATCCACCCTTTATGTTTCTATTAAATATGCAATTACATGGTGTGATTCACAATTTCACTAATCACCTTTCACTTTATCTCCTCAAGTATCTACAGCCCATACCTCAACCTTAAAACTTTAAACCTTTAAACTTTTGACCAGTATGTATGTCCTCTAACCCTTCCATTTTATCCCTCTCAACCACCCATTATGTTCCTCTCGCCCTCCCCATACACCGCACGCAGTTCAGCGCGCTACAGACATTAGAATGCTCTGCCGAGGTTCACATCAAAGCTGAACTTTGCTTGTTAACGACTGGATTCCATTACCAGATGTCAGCATCGACTTCTGAAATTTTCAAACACTCGACTCCCTTTGATATACGGAAATTTATAAAGTTAGGCCAGCTCCTCGGTAATGTCATTTCTGTCCAGCATAGCTTGGTGAAGGAAAGGCTGATGGAAACGAAAAGATTGTCCCCAGAGGGCGATTGTGGTGTTCGGATACATTTCAAAACGCCGCAGCAGCATCGCTGTAATTATTGCGATATTAACTCGGTATAAATTATGCACCAAAAATATTGCATACAAGAGAAGCGGTGACTAAATTAGTCATCACTGTGAAGTGACTGATATGAAGGCATTTAAAACATCAGCGCCGCGACGACGGGGTAAGAGTTATAAGTCGACACACAATTAAACATGTAAGATCGATGGGCTGATGATAACCGTTTAATCGTGTCACTGTTATTTTATCAAAGCGGTATCCCTCGATCGCTGCCTAGCACCAGAACCAAGAACAGGACCGGCAGCCGGCCCAAAATCTGTGGCAGTGTAAGCCCCGGCCTCGGCTATCGTTTATCGGCTGGTATTTCGACTGGCGATATTACTTTCATCGGGTTGCCAAGGTGGCATGTTTGTACGCTTCCGCCGGCGGATATTGGCCGTCTGTCGGCACTGGCCGCCGCCCGGGGCGGGGGCGGGGGCGGGGGCGGGGGCGGGCGTGAGACGGTCGTCGACAGAGTCCGATTCCGGCCGCCGCTATCGACGAGGCCGCCGGAAGTGTCCGGCCCACCCGTCGGTCGGCGGGCATCCGGAGTGGGCCGCGCCGCGAGCCGCTACAGCCGCCCTCCCTCGACCAGATACGCCCCAAACGACCGCCCTTTTCCGCAGATACTCTCCAAGTACCGGCTCGTTCGGTCCGAGACGACCCAAACACAGCGCCCATTACGCCGGGACTCCAAATGAAGTTTGGCGCCGGCCGCCTGTTGCAGAAATGCTCCACAGCCCTGCCCAGCCGTCTATGGCAGACCGGGGTGGCTCCGACTGAGGTAACCGAGCCATAGGACGTGGAGTGGGCTGCGGCGTGATGACCGGGTCACCGTCAGGGGCTTTGAAGGCGACTGGGATACCCGCGCTCCACCGAGACCGCGGACAGAGGACATCCAATCACAGCCCATGGGACGTCTGCCGCGCTCACCAGACCTTCAGCGCGTCCAAACTTAGCCGAGCGCCGGAGCTGTGCCGTGTCTGACGGCGCCGTGCCGCCTGTGTCTGTCTGTATTGCGTCGCGAGCTGTGCTGGGGGCGGCCCGAGTTCATGACGGCCTCAGAGGCTGGCGGTGGGCAGCCGCGGGCTGTCAGTGCCACCAGTGTGTGCTGATGTGTGGGCTCGTCACTCACCGTTCTGTGGAGACGTGGGGGAGCGGCACTCCGGAGTGGAACTATCAGTCGACGTGCCACGGCTCGCCGGTTATAGTTTGAGGTTAAAAGTGTGCAATCTACCGTCTGCCAATGGGGACAGCAGTAGTGGGCTCGTAAGACGGGCTGTGATGGGAGCACACACCAGTGAACCGTGATGGTAGCACCGAGTTCACCGCGAGTGTGACGTCAACCGCTGCAGATTGACGTCAAACGCGGCATGAAGTAACCCAATGCTTATGCAGCCAATGTAAATGTGAACTCAGATCCAAATTTTCAAATGAAATGCAGCTAGTTATTTCGTACTTGCAGCTTCTCCGTAAACCTTCTCCGTACTTCTAAATCCGGTATTCACCAATATCGTGGCCTTCTTTGGCCGTCTTCTATTTGTGTTTTGAGCCACGCAATAAGTAGGTCTGGCGCTGCGGTTTCTGATAGGCTCTATTGGTGCCACGGCCATGGCCGTGGCGCCGAGCCGATAACACCGGCCACTGGCTGAGTACCTTTTGTCCCAGCT